CTTGTATTGCAGACCAGAATTCTGCGTAATTTGGATCAGATAGTTGCATTCAGCTTATTTTGAGATAGTAAAGCTTATGAGTTTACTTGTGAGTTGCTGTACTCCACATTTATTCAGGCTGATCAAACTGCTATAGCAAATATGTAGAATCCTGACTCCTGCTGTCACAAGAAGGAAAAGGTCATTATCTTCATAAACTTTGCACCTTGTCTTCCCTCCTCCTCCAAATCTAGGGAATTGGAAGAAACCATTTTGTGCCTGAGTGGGAAACAGTGGCTGAGAGATCCCTCCTGTACCTCTGCTTTGCATTTTTGTGGAACATCCCTGTTTTAGTGCTAATTTGTCTCATTTTAGCATATTCTGGTGGACAGACTCTTGATGCTGCTTTTTTCCTGTGTCTGTTAAGTGTCTTCAAAGAGCCGAAGTGTGGGACTATGGAGATTCTCTGTCTTTAATGTATATGAAATTAAGAGTACACATTTATATTGTCTGGATTTGAACAGGAATTAAATTTTGTTTGGTTTTTTGGTTGTTGTTTTGTTCTTTTTTTTTTTTTTTTTTTTTTGCTGCTGGCATGAATTTGCTGCCATAAGCAGTGAATAATCTGAAGCTACAAAGCATCTGGCATTTTTGAAGACCATTCTTTGCTACCACACAATATACAGGCATTTAAACCATTATGTTTAGGCTACTGAAGAAAAAAAGATGACAGTAGTTGAGCATAGCAAAAAATTAAGAGAGTCACAAATATGTGAATTCATTCCAGTAAGTGTTTGAGCAGCTGTAGATTTGGTATTTATTCTGAAAGGGTCCATGTGGAGTTCTTTCTATTCTGAATTTTAATTATATGCCCAAATATAGTGTCTCCTGATGTATAAAATAACTATTTTTCCACTTCCTTGAACTGTTTTCCTGATTCTGTTCACATTTCCACCTCGTGACCAGACTTTGTTTGCTCTGGCTTTATATAATGGCAGGATTAGCTGATAGGAGTCTCTCAAAATCTCAGATAGCTCTTCTCTTGCTACATTCATTTTTCAGCTCTTTGCTTTGTTCTTTGCTAGTCTGGAATTAAATCAGGTTTGCTTGTTATGTCTCTCCCAGGCAGGATTTGAATCCATCATATCCATATGTGCTTGGTCCTAGTACTTACCTCATTTCAACTCTAGTTTAACTTGGGGACAAGTGCAGAATTCAATGTGTGTGTTTGGGGACTGTTAGTATTGAAGACATCTGGAAGTCTCTGAGTATTACTAAACTAATGGACTGCCTGGAGCTTTACAGTGCAAAGTGCCTTCAACTGCCTATAAATTATATGAGTATACTGTTAAAGCAGCAGTTGGTACTTTAATGCATCATAACTGCCCTGCTTTAGCATTTTTTTTACTGAACTAGGTTGTGTAAATTATTCTCTAATCATGTGAACTCTGTTGGTATTCATGTTTTGTAGACATCACATATAAATTACCTTTGATTTCAGAGGCATATGTGCTAATAAGAGGGTCTTCATGGTTGATGACATCTTTGTGTACATGAAAATAGAGAAAACAGGGTGCTGTGGTAGCATTAAGGGTTGTTTGTGTTCAGAAAAGTTAAGGTTAAATTAATGACATTTGTTGTTTGGAGTTGCATTAATTAAAACGTGCTAATCCTGTCATTGGATACTCCCAAATGCTTCATTTTTGGGTGTTTCAGCGTATCCATTTTCTGTGCCATCCTCGTAAATGTACAGAGATGGGGATTTCTCTGTGGCTGTGCAGGCATCTGTGCTGCTTGGTCAGCTGGGAGACACAAACTGGGAATGCTCTGGCATTGAAGTAGTGTGAAGAAGTTATGCAGAAATATTCACTCGAGTTTGCCAGTAGGGTTGTATGGTTTTTGTTGACTCATGTTTGTGTGAGTCAGAATAAATGCATGTTGTATAGGCATGACTTGTCTACTCAGTAGTAGAATTTACTTGAGCTTTGCTGGTTTTATTTAGTCACTTTTACTTTTCTAGATGTGCACGTGGCATAGAGAAACACCCACAAACAAGGTTAAATCCCTGTTTAGAAAACTCCTTAAACATGTTGCCATGAAAAAAAAAGGGATGCAAAAATCTCGACATTTTAATTCTGTTTGTTCAAATTCATACAAATACTGGAACATTTCTTACTTTGGGAAAAGATTTGACCTGTATCCTTTTGGGAATGTTCATTCTGCAGCACAGTGGCACAGCAAGGGCTTTCCTTCAGCAGTGGCAGCAGCTGGGTTTGGGAGGCAGTGTCCTGTTTAATTCACCGGGGGGAAAAAGAGCTGAGGAGAGAGAGGGGACTATAAATACTGCCTGGCTGCAGCTCTGCTACTCCCTGAACCAAGTTGCTATTGCTGCAGTGTACACTGCAAAAATGTCACATCTCCTCACTGTGCAGCACTGAATGGTGTGGAAATAGCCAACTGCACCCCTTACCTCTGCTTTCACTTGGACTTACAGTTTGGGGTTTGTAGTTTTACAGTTTGGGGTTTTATAGTTTTACAGATTGGGGTTTTATAGATTAATTTGATAAAGAAAATGTGACTTATGTGACTCTCCTCCTTATCCATCTCCTCCTACTTTAAAATGGCTCTTGAATTTTCTGTTCAACTTCCACTAAATTTTCTATAGGAACGGAAACTTTCGAAGGTGTTACATTCCCACAAAGGTGTTAAAAATGGGAGATTTGGTGTAGGAGAGGCCCACACTGGAGCTCCCAAAAAGGAAAAGCATGTTGCCTGTTGTGTTTGGTGTCTCCTCAGGGATGAGCCTGTGCAGGGCTGTGTTCTCTTGTCCAGCCATTCATGAAAGCCACGTCTGGAAGGGAAACCTCTTGCAGTAGGATGTGCAAGTAACCAGGGATTTCATAACGCAGACATTTATTTAGGGATGCATCAGAAGCTCTGAGATAAAGAGAAGCTTCTGCTCCACTGATCCTGAGCTCAAGGAGCTGGAAAAACAGAATCTGGGAGGGGATTGAGTTTTTGTCTGCCAGAAGGGAGGACAGTTGCTCACTCTTCCAACGATGGTGTCTTCACTGTGTAACCTCACCCAGCCTCATTAAGAAGCCAGGATTGGCACCATTTTTTTATTTTCTATAAATTTCCAATACACAAACACCCTTATTAAGAGAAATTTTCCCTGGTCTTGGCAAAGAAGAGGTTTTTCAAGTTGATTTTCTTATCCTTAGGATTGGCTCTAGAGAGCACAGTGAGAAAGAAGTTAACATCCAAAATGCAAAATGGGTAATTTCTGTAAATAGGAGAATTTGGCCTCCACAGAGAACAAACTGATGGCATTCTCTTCCACAGTGACATGCAAAAATTCCCTGCAATGAATTCCTATCTGTAGCTTTTATTTATGGGGAATTTTTAGTAGCTGAATGCTTAACATTTATGTTGCTGTTGTTAATTTGGTTGTTTACAAACAAAATCCAAAAATATTTGCTGTTGCTCTGGTCATACCTTTAGTAAATCTTAGCAATATTTGTCCTAAACTGACCAAGGTATAAATCTTTCCTAAAGCCAACAAAACCTGGTTTTGGAGTATGTTGAGCTGATGTGTCAGCATTTGAGAGCAATTTTGGCAAGTTTCATCTGTGATTGATATATCCAGTCCCAAGTAATTCCTCCTCTGTCTGGATCCATTTAGAAACTGAAAGCTAGTGCCTGTAAAAGAGATGGTTCAGAAGTGGAAGCAGTTTTTCCCATCCCAAAGATTATGAAACCTGTTAGTTTGATTTATTTTGCTTTACTTTTAATCTGCTGCCTTCTTTCCTTGTATGGATTCTGACTTTTGCCTGGTGAGAAACAGCTGATGAACTTTCTTACCGCCCTTTCTTGTAACCTTAATGATAGTGGAGTTCACATTTACATCTCCCACTCCAAAAATGCAAAACCTACCAAGTTTAATGTCAAATGCAGCTGACATTGGTAAAAAATACAGTAGTTCAGTGTGGGAAATGTCCTTCAATAGCTTTTTTTGTTGTTGCTTCTGTAAGACAGTTGTGCAGAATTATGCAGGTGCTGGAGACAGATTTGCGAGTATTTTCTTCCTATTCCAAACATTCTGAATAGCTATGTTTATTTTTAGTAAAATACATCAAAGTCTAGCTTTACTTAAAATAAAGTGTCTAAAAGAGAGTGCCTGTTTAGACCTCTTATTGTACTTAGAAGTAAAAGATGTAACATGATCTAGTTGTATTTTTTTGTGGAGTATTGTACACCAGACTACCCCAAAAAGTAAAAAAAGGTTTGTCAAACTTGCTTTTGCAATGGAAATCTCTGGATTTTCCCTTCCATTTATATCTGTAAAAGGAGGAAATATATAACAGGGAGGAATTTTTTCAGCATGAGCTTCTACCCATCAGTGAAGACATTAAAATTTGAATCAAGTCATGCACTTCAGGGATAGAAGTTATTTGGATGTAGACTATGCCTGCTGATCCAGGAGGTGGACTGGCATGTCTGATGATTTGGGGAATCCCTTTAGAGGCCTGGAAACAGCAGACCCTAATCTCTGGATGTCAGCTGGACTTGGGGAAAAACCAAGCATCTTGCTGCTCAAATTTGGGTTGTTCACCAGCTACACATTTCTGGGATGCTCAGTGTTCTGCCAAGACTTAAATCAAGGAAGATGTCAGAGGGAAACAGCAGAGCATCGTCTTTCACCTTCTGTCAGATCTGGCCTGAAATTATGTCTTTCTTGATAACCCAAAGAGCTTATTTTTGTCTTAGTACTGACTTCATGCTGCCAGAAGCACTCTGGAGTGAGTGAAGTCACATCAGGCTCTGCCCTTGCAAGGCTCTCCATAGTATTTTTGTTACAGCTTGATGAATATGTTGAAAATTTCCAATATTATAAACTTCCTTTCTCTCTCCCATCAAAATCTTCATGCCTGCATTCTTGATTTTAAATAGGGTGGCCATTAGGTTGCTTCATTTCTTTCTCCACGTGTAAATCTTTACATCTTTCTGTGTTTCTACAGGAATCTGAGATGAGGGTGAACTAGATTCTGATGATCATCTTGCTGTCACCTGTAGTGACAGGTAAGTGTACCAAACTAATTTTGTAATGAAATTGTTGAAGTTATTCTGGTCAAGTGGACAAACCTGAAAAACCTACAGCCCAGGAACTTCACCCGTGTGTGGTGCTGCATTCTAAGGGGTGTTTCAATGAAGAGATGGCCAAAAATGCCTGAAAAATCTGCTTGATCCCCAACAAGGAAAATGTTCCTCCTCCTGGTTTCTGGTGTTGGTTGGATCATGAGAATGATCTCAGAGCAGAGGAATTTGCAGCTTAACTGTGGCCTGGAGTGAAGGTGGCTGGCACATCTCGTAAACTCATAACAACTCTCCTGCTCTTCCTCCTCCTCCTCCTCCAGAATGTGCTTTAAATATGAACTAGCAGGTAGACTAATTTATAATATTTCTTGTATTAGACAAGATAAACACTCTTTTTAAAAATTTATTTAGGGGCAGTTTATTAATGGAGTCACTGCAAATTTGCAACTGATATTAAAACTGGATAAAGAATTGCTGGGTTTCTGTACTGTAATACCTTGTACAATTAGGTGAGAACTGATGGACCAGTGAGTCAATGTAGATACACTGTGCTACACCACAATCATATTCCTTTTTATCTTTTGTTTTTACCTTATCTGCTGCAATTTCAGTGTTTTCTATTCAAAAAGGCTTCTAGTCTTTATATTTATTATATTTTTTTTTTATCTTAGCTTTGCTGTGGTTCTTTCAGAACACAATTTAAAAAGTTTTGGTAGTACTCTGGGGACAATTTAGTGCTATTTATGCAAAACAATTTCTTAAAGTGACATTATTTTCTTGGCTTCCAGTTCAATCATTACAAAATAAAGAGAAACATTAAACTAGAAATCAGAAAACTAGAAGAAAAAGGACACTGATTTGAAATTAGGTTTCCTTTGGTAAAGCTTGATGCTTCTCTATGATCTGCAAACTAAAAAACTCATTTTCTCTGTGATAAGAGAAGCTGAAGGTGCCTTGTCTTGCACTGGCTGCTGCAGTGTTTTGTGTTAATGCACATTATGGGCACAGATCAAAGATTGGATAGTGAGTCTTAACAGTACCAGTACCTTTGGATGAGCACTGGAAGCAAAGAGAAAATAGAGAAACAATGTAAAATGTGTGAGATTTATTGCTGTAAAGTGCGTAGTGACATGAAGTAGTATAATCTGAGAATAGCAGTATAGTCTGAGAAAATGGGAAAAGGGGAAAAATATTAATAAAATATTTGTACCTTAAAGGCCAGTACAACAAAAGTTTCTGGTTTATCAGGGCATTTAATAACTGACTGTTTGCTTCAGTGGCAGGGTCACTATCAAAGATAAATACACCAGTCAAAAGACAAAGGTACAGAAACAGGTGTGCAAATTTGGATTTTAAGTATTGTATTTGATATTGTGCTGAGTTGATGGGAATAATTTTTTTTGTTGGCTGAAACGTTTAAGTGAGTTTGCAGTTGTGGTGAGGAGCTTTTCAAGAGTCAGGATGGTCTTCAGTCTATGGTGTGACCAAAATAATCCATCAGTCACTCCCTGATAAGGGATGTACACATTTGAATTGCATACAGAAGTGAGAAAGTGTGGTGAAAGGAATTATATAAAATAATTCTAGAACAGGAAAAAAAAATCTCAAGTAATGAATTCTTAAATTATATACTCAGTGTGGGAAACAGAAAGGCCTCATCAGTGTGTGGCTGAACTACTTTTCAATTAAGTCTGAAGCATAAGGAGCAGCAGTTACTCATAACTACCTTTGGTGAGTTATAAACACTGAAACAATGTTTAAAATATAGATGTGATTGTGGAAGGCCTTTGCTTACCTTTTCAGTCTTGTTTTTTAGTTTTTTTGAATGTCACTCTTCCCCGTTGACATTCACTGCTGTCCCAGTCACTGCAGACATTCCTGGCTGAGCACGTTGTGAGAGCCAGCAGTGACAGTGGGGTTTGTCACAGGCTGTGAACACTTCTCTGTGCTTTACATGCTGGGAGTGGGTACTGAACTGGTACTTTCATCCCAGGCCTGTGGTTTTCTTAAAAATATTATTATTGTATGTCTTCGCTGCATGGTTTTGAGTCTTTAGGTTAGGTGGTTTTGTTGTGGGGTTTTTCCCCCCCTACCAATACCTATTTAACAGCTTTTATTACACTATACAAAATATTGTGCATAGAATCCTGGAATGGTTTGAGTTGGAAGGGACCTGGGAGACCATCTAATTCCTACTCCCTGCCATTGGCAGGGACACCTAGACTAGGCTGCTCCAAGCCCCATCCAACCTGGACTTTAACACTGCCAGGGATGGGGCAGCCACAGATTCTCTGGGCAACCTGTACCAGGGCCTCACCGCCTGACTAAACAATATCTTTCTAACCTTAATTTCTCTTCTTTAAGTTTAAAACCATTCCTTGTCCTGTCACTATCTGCCCATGTAAGAATTCACTCTCCCTCTTTTATATAAGCTCCTTTTAAGGAGCATGTAAGAAAATTCAACTCTGATATACAGAAATAGTCCCTCTCCATGTGTGACTGGAAAACCATGTGGAGAAGAGCAGTTTAGATTTATTAAGGACTGGGGAAAACTTTTGAGGTGAGGCAGCTAGTGATGGCAAATGTAAAAAAAACCCAAACCAAACATCTGTGATGCAGACTAAATAAATGTGGCAGAACATTAGGCAGACATAAAACCTAATGGCAAATCTCTTTCTAATGCTTGAATTGAACAAAATATGTTTCTAGTTTTATGCTAATGCTGAAAAGAAGGGCTTTTCTCTCTCTGTCTCTGCCTTCCTTGTTCCTGCAAACAGCAAAGTGGAGTGTGGGTTTTGTAAATCTCATTAATGGGTATGTCCTGAAGGATTTGGTTCATATGATGGGCTTAATTATTTCCTTCCCTGCACAGCTGCATCCCAGGGTAAACAGAGCTGCCTGGATGCTGTTCCTCTCTTCTAATGAGGTGCAGGGATACACAGCTCTGACAGCAGCAACAGCAGCGTTGGGAAATGAGCTTTGCATGGGAATTGTTCCGATTTACCAACACACAGAGAAAGATTTGGGCAGCAACTAGGAAGAAGTTAAGCAAACTGAGAGGTGCATCTTATAAGATCACCCCAACCCCCTGTTCTATAGAAGACTAGGAGTCCTTTCAAGCACAGTATTACTGGGCATCACTGCTTTTCATGCTCCCACATGGATGACCTTCCCAAAAGTCTGACTGTCAAATCCTGTATCAGCAGCTGCTTGTTACCTACAGAACATTAAGTAAGAACTTTTACTAAATGCTTTCTCCATGACAGAAACTGATAGTAGTAAGCCTGGAGTTCAAGTGATGATGTTTTTTCTATTAAGAATATTTTAAATCCTGATTCAATCAAGATTTTTTTTTAAATGCTTTTATATTCAGTTTGCGTATCTTGATTAGACTGGGATAATTTCCATGGCTGGAATCTCCGATGTGTGCTGTCATAAAATTATAAATGGTAATGAATTCACTTAATCAGGTCTTACAGAGGTACAATCAACATGAAATCTAGTCAATTAGAAATAAATTTGTTTAAAGTATTTCTGGTTCTCCAACAGCCTCATTTGAGGGCTTGCATTACCCGTGTCTGAACTAGAGACGTACCCAAACAGATAGAAACTACACTTTGGAAAGAAATCACTGTGATATAAATAAATCCAGAACGTCTGGTGATGCTGAAATGTACCTGAATCTCTGTTATAAAATGACTTTTAAGTAGTGAAAGCTTGAAGAGTTTGTTACAAATCTGTATTTTCAAACAATAACATTCTTTCTGGTTTTTGTTTCCCTACTTTTGTGCAGTAGTCACAAACATGTCTCTCATTCTGTTTCCTTCTTGCCTAAGAAGTTTTTATTTCTCAAGCTGTTTACTGAAGATAATTAAACATTGATAGTCAGTGAGGAAATTGTCTCTTTTCATCAGTTTTATTGTCTTGTTCACCTAAATTTTGGCTAGCTAAATTTGGTAATAAAGAGTTTCTTATCTATATAATGAATAGAATCAAAATCTCAAAAGTCAAGAAAATAATTCAGTTCTACAAAAGTGCTGTGCTGCCTGGGTCACCTGGGCAGATCATTAAACCTTTCATCATTCACCTACAAAATCCTAAAGAATGTCCTTAATTGTGCCGTGAGCACAGGTTGGAGTTTAAGTTAAAGTCTAAGATGTGCTTGGGAAATAATGAAGCAAGATGCAGATAAGGTCAGCGGAGTTCCCTTTTATAAAATTTCCTCTGGAAAAAAAAAGTCAGATAACTTTTCTGCAATTGGGGTAAGAGAAACCTGGAGACCATCTGCCATGGGAAGCAGGGATATTTGCTGCACACACACACAGATGGGCTCAGGGATAGTGAGGACACAGCATGTGGCTTTACTTTCACTGCAGTTTGGCTAAACCAAGGGCTGGGCACCTGCCCTAGTTCTCCAGTGTGTGCATCTTCCTGGGTCACCATTTGTTTGTTGCTTCCCTCTTGATTAAGAAAAGAAATTAAGTGTGTGAAGGCCAGGTAGTTCTGCCCTTCTTCCCTCTCTATTAGTGGTCCTGAAGTCAAGACTTAGTCTGGCTCAGCTACTCAGATATTTAAGCTGAAGCTGAACTAGACATTTATTCATCCACGATATTGCCCGGTGTAAAAATAATGGTCACATCTTGACCCATCTTTGTCCAAGTTTTCCTGATCTGAGGTCCCTGGACCTCATATTAATAATTCAAATGAACCCAAACTGAACAATGAAACTCGTCTCTGCATTTGACAGCTTGGCAATCTCCCATTACAGAGCACTTTGGCACTGGCACAGATTCGCAGACCTGGAGAGTCTCTGTGCTCCCAAATCCCACCCACTAGGCTGCTGAAGATTTTGGGTACTTGGTGTCCTTTACAAATTTCAAGGGGTGCTTCCCCGAGGTTGAAATATAAATGAATTTGTTGAAACTAAACAAGAAAAAAATTCAACATGCACAAGGAGAAGGAGTAATTGATTTTTTTTCAACCAG